TGTCTCTGGAAAGTATATAGAACTTTCTTACTGTTTTGATTAACTTTGCTGTTCATGTGAAGATATTTCAGCACCACGGTTCTCTTTCCCTCATTCATTGCTTCCTGCTTCCCCCTTAAACTATCTAACCCCCACCCCTCATCCCTCAAGTTCAGAAAGCTTTATTGGCACAATCCAGCTCTTTCTCTTGGCATGACCCTGCTTCCCCGCCTTCACCACCCCTGCATTTCCCCGCCTGCTCGTCCTCTCTCTCTCTCTCTCGGTCCTTTTTCGCTCTCCCTCTCTCCATCCCTCCCTTTCCCTCCTTCTCCCTCTTCTCCCGGAGCTGCCTGTCCTGCCTCTGTCCCCCAGTGCCCGTCAGGCCCGTCAGGCAAGCGGACAGCGAGCGAGAGGGGAGAGAGGGAAGGCAGGAGAGGGCAGGACAGGCTGATAAATGGAAGTGAAAGGAGAGGAGGAGAGTCTGGGAGTGAGTGTGTTTGCTTTACAGCGTCGGAGTGTGTGTGTGCGAGTGTCAGTCTGTATGTCCGCGTGTGTGTATCACATTGTATTGTAGGCAAGGGGACTGTGCCATTGTGTGCAGGTGTGTATCGGTTGTTTCTGTGTTTGTGCACACATGTGCGGGCCACATCTGAGAGATCGTCCTCACAAAGACCTGACCAACAGGCGCTGCGGGGGACCGGGGAGGAGGTCCTCCCGAACGCAAACGACCCTTTTAGAAACCAAATGGCGTCACCATTGCAATCTAATAGTGCCAGGACTGCTTGTTTTGAGCCTTCCACCCTGTGTGGAGTTTCACTGCGGTGGAGGGAATAATAAACGAGATTCAGTATGTCCTTACAAGTACAGAGCTCCCGACAGGAGTGTGTGTGCTAGCATGAAGGAGAGAGTGTGAGCGGCGCAGTTGGCAGGGCTCACACTCTCCGAGCTCACATGTGGAAACAATCAGGACTCAGTCACCACTGAAACACAGCCCGATGACATCACTGCGGCCGCAGGGACGGGAGACAGGGGAGACAGCCAGGGACAGAGAGGCAGAGGGAGATGGGGAAAGGGAAGGAGGGAGAGGGAGGACGCTTTAAGAGAGAGGGCGACAGAAGGAAGGGAGGCTGTGAAAAGGGTAGGACTGGGAGGGAGAGAGAGGTCAGAGAGAGAGGAGTGAAACTGGGGAAAGCGAGGGAGCAGAGACTGAGGGGGGAGGAAACAGAGTTCATGAATAAAATTAGAACATACACCATCCCTCGCATCTGATAACTCCTGTCGCTCTGCAAACTGACGTCTAGACATTTTTACATTCCAACCAAAGCCACGACCGGGACTTGTCTGTGATCACAAAACACGCCAGGTTGTGTTCGAACATGACACACACATGGATGGACACACACAGCAAAGAGAGGCACTGGGCTTGAGACAAGAGACTTGTCTGTATTCCCCTGTATTAAGAGAGTGTGCTCTTTTCAGATCCTCTTGCAATTTTTTTTTTGCATGTTTTTAAAAAGAAACATTTTTTTCCCTTAGCTGTTTTTTGTGTCCCCTGGTGGCGCACTAAGTGGAAAGACTCTGATACTGAAGGGGCTCTTTTATTTCAACCTGGGGAAATATTAATGTGTGGAAAATAAGTACGAGTCAGCCAGGGCCAAGACGCTGAGGAAAATGGCTTGTTTTCAGGCCGCCGGTCTGTCTAATGAGAGAGAAAACCGCCCGTGTCTGAACACAGTCTTGGTTCTGAACTCTCAGTAGGATGACACTGGGTCAAGTGGCCCCCTCCCACACAGTGCTGTAACCATGTCAGTGGGTTCTTGTGCCAAAGGAAGTCACCCTTAATAAAGACACAGGACATAGAAATTCTTAATTCCTTAAATAAGGGCTCGAACTGAGGGAACACACCATCACCCTTATTACAAGAAATGGAAGCCCATTTACAGATAGATGTGTCCCCGTCTCAAAAGACCTGTAAAGATACCATTTGCTGCGCTATGCTAATGTGTGTGCTATATTATTGTGTACTGTGTTAACATGTGTGCACTGTATTGTTTTGTGCTGTGTTAATGTATGTGTGAGCTGTTTGTGTTGTAATGCGTGTGAGCTGTATTATGGTTTGTGTTGTGTTCATGTCTGTGTGCG